TGATAAAGACAAATATAATTTTCATTCTGCTGATTTTTTACCAAATATAGCACAGTTTTTCCAATCTAGTTTTCACATAGTTTTTCCCATCTAGCGTCCACATAGTTTTTCCCATCTAGCGTCCACATAGTTTTTTCCATCTAGCTCCCACATAGTTTTTCCCATCTAGCGCCCACATAGTTTTTCCCTATCTAGTGCCCACATAGTTTTTCCCTATCTAGCGCTCACATAGTTTTTCCCATCTAGATCCCACATAATTTTTCCCATCTAGCGCCCACATAATTTTTCTCATTTAGATCCCACATAGTTTTTCCCATCTAGCGCTCACATAATTTTTCTCATCTATTAATTCGAAGAGTTAATAGATTTTCCTTTGGCTCGTCGAATGAAATGAATTATAGCGCTGTTTCCACTTCCGCGACTAAGTAATGGCAACCTGAACTAAGAGGCAGTTTAAAAAGAGCGGAATTCCGTGCACGTACCTAATTCTAATATCTATCAGCGATGGACCTAATATCAGATTATAGGTGACGTCTAAACGAGCATTGGCTGTAATTTCCTGCGTTTATGAAGATATAAATCTTAGTTGCTCTTCCTATCTAGGCAAGTTCTCGCTTTACGTTTCTTTAGTAGTAGAAGTATCGCGAGTCGTCAAACACTTTTTGAATGTTTTTATAAAACTATAAAAAAATATGTAAATTATTTTCTCACCCGTCTTTAAATTTTTAAAGAATATGTGTTTTCATATGTGATATTCTATTTCTAACATTTTTTTTAAGAAAATATTCTCTTTATATACAAAGAAAGCATCACAACAATTTTTATAGAAATAAAATGATTTACAATCTTTTCATTCCCATAAAAATTATATGTATCTAACAATTATCTATAATTATCGAAATTACATTTATGTTCATCTTGTTTAAATCTAAATTGAATATAAATGAAAGTTTAAATTTACAAAAATTTCATATGAAACCTCATTATACTGCAATCACTACAATTCAAATCATCTATTTTGAATATGAAGCAGAAATTTAATTAATCTCAAGTATTTACTAACGATATACATATTTTCATAAAGTCCTAATATCACAGTTTATTTCATATTCTATTTTTTTCATGTAAGAAGCAAGTAAAAAAAAAAGAAATAAAATACTTTTAATGACTTCGTGAAAACCACGACTTAAATTATCTCGGCGGCGAATTATCCCATGGGAAACTCGTGTCTATAAAAAGCTGTGTGAGAATCAACATATGATTCTTTCGAGAAAATAATTTGTATGACTCGATCAATACACATTTGATAAAGATATATATATTTATACTCGATTATAAGATATATTTCTACTCGAAACTGCGGCAGATTTCCGATCAACCATAAATAATCGCCAGTAATGCGAAAGAAGTTTATAATGTATAAAAACTGAGTGGGAACTACCGTAAGGTATGAAAGTCGGATAAGACGATGGAATCGCGTGCGATCATTATCGATCTTGCAAGATGAAATGGAATGGATTGTGGTGAAAGATTCTAGATCCTGTTATCTTGAGTGAATGAAATATTTCGAAGACCTGGATTGTGCATTGAGCTGGTGTAAGATGCATTGTTTTTACAAAGAAGATAGCAAAATGTAATAAGATAAAATTAATTCTTTCATATTACTTTTTATTCTATATCATTATAGCATTACAAAGTTTGCTTTTATATCTGTTTTAAAAAATCCATTTGATATACTTACTATTTTCTATATTACTTTAATAAAATATTAAATAAAATAATATAATTAATAAAATTAGTTTGATAATGATACGTTCCAAATTATCTAAATAAATAAATCTAATATATCTAAATAAATAAAAATTACCTTTAAAAAATTTAAAGTAATATATAAATAAGTGAAAATTAAATTTTTATTTTATATTATATTTTTCAATTATCATTAAAATAAAACATATCATTAGAATAAAACATATATATTGCAAATATTTTTTTAAAACCTTTTATAACATAACAGCTTTTCAATATGTGGCAACTAGGTAGATTTATCCTTTTTGATAAAGGTTTTATGCGTATTATGGACATTTTTAGTTTTTTTCACTTTTTTTTACAAATATATATATATATATATATATATATATATATATAAAACTGAATATATATATGACTGAAATAGTTACTATTTTATTCTATTTGCATACACGCATTCAAAAGAGATATTTTGATATTTATTGTTGCGATTAAAACTTACATTATATTAATTAGGAATAGGAGTATTTCAAATAATTTCAATTAAATTTACAATTACGATCACAACTATTTACATGATCGTCCGAATCGTTGGAATTGGTATATATTTTCAAACTTCATTCTGATAGCTTATGCACATACATATAAAAATGCGTGTAAAGAGATAGAATGTAACATAGCAACATAAACAAATATGTCACGTTTCCAGATCAGTAGTGTAAGTAAAACACCTATGAATACAACAATCTAATAACGTTTTAGAAATATGTGTCCTATAAATGAATAAACGCAGATATAAAAATGTAACACTATTTCTCACATCGTTTGACGAAAGAAAATTTAACTACTTCGAAAAAGTTCACCGCAACTTCTCGCTCAGCAGAACGCAGAGAGTAAAAGACAGACAAAAAATTTCCCTCCAAAAAAAAAGTTTATGTTGCAACAACTTTAGTGTAAATAGAGTTCTTCAAAAATTTTGCTTATTAAGAAAAAAAAATACAAAAATATTACTTATAATTTTTATATTCTTAAATGAGAATTTCTTCTTATTTATAATTTATATGCAAATATCTTAACAAATGATATTGCAGTTATGTACATATTATTATTATTATTATCATTAATTTTATTTAATTATGTTTTTAAATCAATGAAAGAGTAATTTTTTTCTCTTAAAATATTACTTAATTTAAAAACTATTTGCTCAAATTTTTATCTTTTTCTCTATTTTTATTTTTCTCAAAATTTTTTTATTTAACATCTTTAGAAATTTGTACATATAAATATATTCAACAATATATATTTTAATTTCTCGTTATTATATACTTCTCTGTACTTTTTTGGCATCTATTTTAAACATTTTTCAAACAAAAAATTCAAAGTATCATTATTTTAAAATAGAAAGAGATAAGGATCTGTAATTGTTTTCAGCGCAATTCGTTTTAGTATCCGATCTTTTTTAGATATGGGTCGCTGTAATCGATTTCGCCACATTTGCTATAACTACCTACATTTGCTATACTTATGCACATGTAGAAACCAATTACGTTCAGAATAAGCATATTGGTTGAAAAAAATCATCAAATAAAATTTTTATTAATAGATTAAAGATTAATGTAAAAAAATCCAAAGCTTTTTTCTATTTTTTAATTAAATATATTTTAATATAGTAATTATTTAAAACTTTTTTAAATTATTGACAGTTTAGATAATTAAATTAAAATATAAAAATATAATATTTCCATAATAATATAACATATATAAAACATATATAAAATATAATATAATAATAATATAACATATATAAAACATATATAAAACATGAAAAATCAAAAATGT